ACCGACGCTAAGCTGTACGCTTCCGAGGGGCTGTCTCCACCTTTCAGTCACTCACCTGTGGTGTCCCCCCAAGGCACCGAGATGGGACCACTATGCTTCCTTATGCTTATCAATGATGCCCCAAGAGAAACCCCTGCTCGCTGGAAATATGTCGACGACTCCACCATAGGGATCAGCATCAACAATTCTGCTCCCAACTATACCGCCCTTCAGGATTTATTGAACAATCTCCAAAATTGGGCCACCAACAACCACGTCACCATCAACCATACCAAGACCATGGTTATGCACATCAACCTCTCCTCCGACGTTGTCCACCCCCCTTCCATTACTTTAGATCCCAACAGGTTGTAGATTCCACTAAGCTCCTCGGCGTCACTATAGATAACAATCTAAATTGGAAACCACACGTCAGTGAAGTTGTCAAATCCTCCAGTTTCCGTCTCCACCTCCTCCACTGACTCAAGTCCCTCGGAGTTCCTGCCCAAAGCTCCTCAGTGTTTACTCAACATTCATACTTCCCAAGCTCACCTGCCTCCCCTACCTGGTCTTCCTCCCAAAATGCCACACAGCATAAACACCTAGAAAAAGTGCAAAAGAAGGCATGCAAGATTATTCTCTCCCCTTCCTACTCCACATATCAAGAAGCGTTCAACACACTGACCCTCTCGGCTCTCACTGACCATCACCACGACCTCATCTGCAAATTTGGTGAGAAGCTTATGCACCATCCTCGACACCGGCTCCTACTACCACCTGAGATCCCTCGCCCGAGAATTGCTGTTCGACACCACAATTGCATCCAGCCCATACGAGCACGAACTGATCGCAATAAGAACAGCCCAGTCCCAACCACTGCAAAAATTGCAATAACTTGTAATCAACCAGTGCACTGTCACTATGTTGAAATGCCCTGTAGTTTGAGCTTCTCCCCATCTAGTTATTATACTGTACCTGTATATCATATTTGTATCACTTTGTTACTTGTATATTATTATATTATTTGTAAATCAAGAGACCCATTTCCCAATTGTGTAACTGTATATTTTCAGCCTTCCGGCTGCCATGCTCTTTCAATGAACCGTTAATTATTACTATTATTATTATTATTATTATTATTATTATTATTTATTATTATTATTATTATTATTATACAATACTATAGGTAAAAGAAATAACTGTCCTAAGGGCAAATGCACAAAGGGAATATATATATATATATATATATATATCTTTGTACACAAGTAAAAATGTACCCCCCGATCCGCAAATGTTATTCGCGGATTTAGCGATTCGCGGCCATTTTGAGAACCTAACCCCCGCGAATTTGGGGGGGGGGGCTGTACTTCTCTTTATTGAGAGGAGGTAGGGGATGCAGGTCATCTGTTGTTAAAACCATACTGGACACCTATATTAAATTTTAAATAGATTTTCTTTCCAGGGCATCCATTAATTGAATCTTTTCAAGGATGACTTAACATATATCAGAATCTTGTAATATACACAGGTAAATCATTGTAAACAATTTTCACCTCTGGACGTCAAAATTCAAACCCGGGCAACCAAGTTTGGGATTCAGGCAGTTATCCACTGGATCACAATGGATTAAAATCTAAATAGCTAAATATGGGTAGCTTTTAGCCCATCATGGTTAAATGGACCAACCTGAATCGCCGGGGTTCAAATCTCGGTGCTCAGAGGCAAATTTTTTTTACAATGGCTAAACATATGAAGAGAAAATACTTATATCATGTGTTTGTGTTTCAAAACCACAAAGCACCTTGCCAGAATACTGTAAGCTTACATATTGACAAAGTGCCTCTACTGGGTGCAGCAACTGAACCTCTGACATCTGTAGAGAACCCTTCCCTCTGCAGTCTGTTCTTTATTTTCATAATTTCTAGGGTTGAATTTCATAAATGAAAATACTGTACTGTAGTCTGATCACAGTAGAATATGTGTATTGCATCCTTGACCACAAGAAGACAAAACATGGAGAAACAGACTATTGTCGAACTTAACTAATATTTTCCTTGATTTTTGAAGATTGTGATTGTTCATATCACAAGGTGTGTACAAATGTATCCTAACTATCTACCGATATCTGGTTTCCACAGTGCACACTTCCAATCTCATTCATTAACATTTGTAACTTTTCTTGTGAACTACACACAAGAACAATGTCAGTTATAAACAGCAGATGAACACCTTCCATGTTGCTTTCTACATTGTTATTTCACTTACTTATCAAACTTATATTAATCTCTTGTTTAATCAATCCATGAAAATACTGAACCACCCGACAACATCTAATAGTTTTTTTTTCACTGAACACTAGTTTTCCCCTTTCTCAAACTTGTACACATTCTTAATCTCTTTCTAATAAATCTGGATATCTTTCAACAGTTTCCAATGAATGGTATCCAAAAGTTTTCAATAAGTTCCACATTGCTTTCTTATCTATTCATCAAAATGCTTATGTTACCAAGGTCAAACACTTGATCTACACATGCTCGTTTTCCAAACCCCTAACTCACACTGTTTTTGCTATGGTATGGTACTTTTCATCACATAAGATGGCTAAAATAAGACAGTCACAAGCGTCCCCTTGTTAAATGTCTCCACAGTTGTAGTTCCTGGTTGTCATCCTCTTCTTCAACCTCCCTGTGTCAATCCTCGGTTCCCTATTGCTTCTATTACATTCTCCATCCATTTCTTCCCTGGCTATCCAACTTATCATCATCCACCTGGCTGCCACCTCAGATACTTGGTTTCTTCTATGGCCATATTTGTGTAACTGCACTCTTTCAAAGCAATCAACTTATGAACCATGAGGAGAAAATATTAGCTACTGGCTTGCTGAGCCTGCAATAATTTTTTCATCAATATATCTGCAGTCAATACTTAAGTTATGCTCTGAATTTTGACCATCAGCTGTGATTCTGATCCTTGGCACAGAGGATTGAATTTGGTGTTGTGTACATATCTACAGTACTGGTTCATCAAAACATCTTTATTGATAAACGAGTTTTGCTCCAGACACAATACAGGCATCCCCGCGTTACGGAAGGGTTGCGTCCCTGGAAAATTGACCGTAACGCGAAACCTATTTTCCCATTGACTTCCATTATAAAACTGGAGATTCGTTCCTAAGGAATTTTTTTTGGCCCCAAAAAGTAATTCAAGCACTTTATAAATGAAAATAAACATTTTTAAACACATACAATACAGTACATAAAATAATTTATGATATACCTTCTTAAAACATCAAGTTTAATATCCAATGTAATGCCTTTGCTGCTCATTTTTGCATTACTGCGGTCACTTCCACTTGATGGCCTCTTTCCATTCATCTTGAATAAGGGTAATGCACTGTACTGTACTTACTGTATGTTTGTAAAAGTTAAATCCAACTGCTGGGGCGAGAAACATGCGCGCACACTGGATGTAAACAATGGACTGACTCCGCGTGGCGATGCCACGCTTGGCGGTAGCAAACACCAAGAATCCACACCAAACAAATTATAATTTTTTACAAAAACTTTTAATTTTAAATAGTGATTTTTTTTTAATTGTTAAAATTTACCCCAATTTCCCTAAGGGCGAATTTATGGGCCGTATCGCGAAATTATTGGTCATAATTTACAAATTCCGTAAAAGCGAAATACCGCAACCCGGGGTTCCGTAACGCGGGGGATGTCTGTATTGTCCTTTGAGCTTCAACTGTGGCCTTAAACTCTGACATAGTTGACAATTATTCAAGTTAAGTCTCACTGAAATACCTTCACAAAGTACTGATACAATAGTTATACTTTGGACAAAATTTTGACCTTTATTGACACAGCAATGACCAAGACCTTTGACAATGACTTGAACTTGGTGTTCTGCTTGACTTTGTAGAAATAAATATTTGTGAGAAGTTTTATGAAGTTCTGCACCAAACAAAATTTTAAACTCTGACCTTCTATTGTGACCTTGACCTCCAACATGAAGGTCAAATTTAAAGATCTGCTCTTTGTATTGTGATGATGCATATCCATATGAAGTTTATTTAAATACCAGTATCACTACAAGAGTTAAGTCCAGAACAAGAAAAAGTTGGTCTCCAGATGATAGGCATCAACCAGCATGCTCAACTACTGAGCCACCTCAAGTCTCCACTCCTGTAATATTATTATAACAGTATCACATCCAGTCTCCTGACAGGAGCAATAAATCACACATCCATCAAAGTAAAACCTAATGTTTGCTGAACCAATGATTTTCATAAATACTCTATCATTAAAATAATCAAACAGAGTGTAATGAGTACCGTTCTTGGACTTTTTGTTTTCTTAAGTTCTTAGACATTTTCATTGAGGTAACTGGCTGTGAAACACTCACTATACTGTACATTAGAACAGTCAAGACTATCTAAAATAGGAAAAACTTTAATGAAAAACAAAATAAACATGCATAAAACATTTTAGTGTCCTGTCAAAAATAAGCAAAAATGGCGTGTGGTGGAAGCAAGACAGGAAGAGCAGGTTTGGTAAAACACACAGAGACTTACTGATGTGGAAGATTAATGCCGAAGAGTTTGTTGTAAGGATGTTAGGGCATTTGTACATTTCATGAAAGGAAGAGGAGCCAGGTATTTTATATATACAGTATATGCAACACATTAAAAACAAAATAAAATTGTTTAAATTTTCAGGCTAATAATATACCGTACATAAAGTACAGTAAAGTATATATAATTCAACAAATAAATATTATGGTATTCAAACATTGAGTAAATTCATATTAAACATGTATCTACTTGTATCAAGAAGCCATTCCCACAGATGAGGCAAGGCATCACATGCAGTTTTAACCATATTGTACTAAATAGCCATCAAACATATTGTCCAATTTTATCACAAATTTATCACCAATGCCTGAAGCATTTGCCTAACAATATAACATTTTTATAAAATTCCTTATAATAAAGGATAAAATAAAAATGTATACCAGCCTACCTGTCTTGATTTTCGAGGACGTTCAGCTACTGTGCGAGCAGACTGTGACCTCTGTATGGCTGCCTGCCTGGCTTGAGCCCGTAGAGTGGAGGCTCGTGTTGGTGGTGGGGTTTGAGTGCGAGGTCGGGAAAGAGTAGCTGGTGGAGTCTGGCAGCGAGCGGGATCTTGACTTGACGTAGGGGGTCGCCTAGCACTCACCCTCTGAGAAGATGGGACAGCAGTGGCACTGGCACTTCGCATCAGCCTGTGGTCACTAGTTCGACCAGGGGTACCACTACCATCACTGCTTGTTCCCCGTAGCCTCTGTAAATATAAATAATTTACTTTTACTAAGAAACCAAATACAGCGGTCCCTCGGTTAACAAACACAATCCGTTCCACAGAGTCGTTTGTTAACCGAATCCATTATTTCAATGGGATATTGGGTAATTGGTTCCAGCTCACAAAGAACATACAAAGTAAAGCCAAAAACACAAAGTCAGAAACACTCCTAAAATTCCCCATACATCGCCCTTAAATCACTATATATACAGTATATACGTACATATACACTCTTACTCTTAAATCACTACTGTTATGTGATACAGGTGATTCATTTTTATCTCTTGTGCTAAATATATAACGTTTATATTCAAATTATTTGCTGTCTTGCAAGGATTCCAGCAATGCAAATTATATTCTCCTAACTTTAGTCTGAGATATTATATAAGATACAAACTTAAAGCCTACTGTATAACCACCAAACCCTTGCTGGGAGGGGGGGGGGGATGACAGTGACATGTTTGACTGTTGGCGCTGAAGGTCTAGTGAAGTATTTATTTGTTTATTTATGTCCTTTAGATTGAGTTCTTTTTTTTTTGCTTATAAAACGTCATAGAAGTGACCGGGGAGAATATAATTTACATTGCTGGAATTCTTATAAGATAGTGATAATTTGAATGTAAACATGCTATAGTTTGCACTAGACAAATATTTTAGTAATCATTTTGTACATTATTTTGATTACATATACAGTACAGCTTTGCCCTTAGGACAGTGTGTGCATGTAAATGAGTTTCAATAAGTGAATAAAGTTACATACTGTATATCGAGCCAAAAATAATAGTTGAAAAACTTTATGTAGACAGAGCTTGGATGGCTAAATTTTCGAATGACCAATAATTTTAATATTTAAAATGCAAAAGTATTCAAGAACATAACCTTCTTGATATTTACTCCACTGGAAACGAATGTAAACATAGAACAGTTTACAGTACTGTATTGGCGGACTAGCCGATCTGCTGATGCTCACAACAAAACATGATTGTCGTAAGGATTTCGTTAATAGAAGTTTTGTTCGTTAACCGAATTGAAGATCCTTATGGGAGCTAATTCGTTAACCAAAATTTTTTTAATCGAACCGTTCATTAACCGAGGGAGCACTGTATAAGTCTCCACTCTCTAAGACTCAAAACAGTAAATGTAGGTCTGTTCATACACAAAAAGGAGTTTTTTCAAGGCATTTACCCTGTTTAATGCTATTCTGTGCACATCAACTGTCTTATCATAAACTCTGTCAGAAGCAAGTCCACAGCCTTCACAAAGTAAAACCACATAAAATGTGGACTGTGGTACATTTTTTTAGATAAATGGGTTAAAGATGCTGTAGCTGAGGCTGGTCACATTCCAGCCCACCCCATGAAAAGATATATAAAAGCAAAATTTGTCTTACCTTGATATTAAATATCTGATCTTTAGTAAATCTTGCTAACATATCCCTAAATGTCCTGTGGAATCAACATTTTGCTCTTAGTCAGAAAAAAAAAGCAGATCAGCTGTAACTTTTAACTAACTGCCTTGTACTGAAGCAGGAGCAACCGACTTGACATGGGTTTGGTTGGATTCATTTTGGCTTGGCTGGACTCTTTTAAATTACAGACAGAGGAACCTGTCTACTATGATGATTGAAGAACTGGTTGGACACGCACAGCTTTATTTAAACCTTAAGTTCTTTAGAATAACTGTTGCATCATAACCCCTTCATTACAGCTCAATGGCATAAGAGGGAGGGAAGTACAATCAATTCATCCAAGGGGCTGACATTTAAAGGTTTTGTGTGATGGACTTAAGACCCCCTAAAAGTCACCCAGTATTATGAAAGCTGTCTGACTGAATAACAACCAGAAACTAGGGTAGGTCAAATGGATGATTCAAGTATATGTAACATTAATTAATCTTGAAATATTGAAAAGCACAGGGCACAGTTGTGATATTAGTCACCCGATAGAAGTCAAACAATACAAATTCTTGAAGGGGAAGAATCCTACCCACCTACCACCTTGTAAATAAATTATCTACAAATAGTTTTAGATGAGTAATCACAATAAAATAATTATTTCTATATGTATGAACAAGTAGAAGGCACCAGGAGGCACCACAGTATCACCATGTGGCGCAATCTCCTTGCACATTTTATGTTTCCCCACACCTCCGCCCTTGCCAGCAACACGAAGCATGGTTTCAGACTCTCACAACAGTTATGAGTAAATTAAATAACTTTGATGAATGAGAAATCAGCACAAGCCACGAGAAAATGCAGGGAAAATGTGGGTCAAGGTTATGTCCTGCGTCGTTGAAACACAAGGGGCGACTGGTGTGGTAACCTAACCTTGGAAGGCAGTCTACATAGTTGCCAGATCACACTGACATCGCCAAATGTGCATCTTGTATATCAAGCATTCATACACAAACATAAAATCATAATTTTTTTTTATTTCATACTCAAATTTGCATATGAAAACCCCAAGAGTGTTAAAAACATATAGGTATATGTTTTGGGGGATTGGTATTCCGTCTACTGTAATGTATTTAAAATAAAAACTTAAAAATCTTAATCTCAATACTCACCCTGGTAGTAGATGACAGCTTCGGTCTAGGAGCAGTGGGTCGTGAAAACTCAACTATCACGAGGGCAGCGTCCTTAATTCTACGTTGTGTACCAGTAGAGAGCAAGGGCCACTTGCGACACACCGCTACCCGGTTGGCATTATGAATCATGAACTTCTCTATCTGATTCAGCAAGTTCTCGAGGAAGTTTAGGAAGTTCTGCAATCAATAATCAAGAAGTTTGTTCATTTTATCTCTCTAACAATGAAACACAGTTAAATGAATCTTGGAGCTGGAATATATCATAGTACTGAAGTATTTAACTGCCTTATTTCTGACTGTACATGTAAAAAATAAGTCTCAACAATTTTAAATAAAAATCTACTTCCTTTATTTCAGATTTAAGCAATTAAAACCCCGGGGAATGTGCCATAAACATCAGACCTACATCCTTGCATTTACTTATAACACAAACAAAAGTCAAATGCATACAGAATTTTATTTTAGCAATGATAAATAAGGATCTTACCTCAGATACCTCAGGCAATCCATCCTGACTCTGCTCAAGGAACTTAGCCAGTTGAATGTGAGAGAGAACAGCCTGGTCAGGACGTATTAATTCACAAGCAACCCGCATTGTGTCTTGCAAACTTTCTATACTCCATCCACTATCTCGTCCCAAGGCAAGGAACCTAAGAAAAATTTCTTACTAATGACTGCACAAAACATTATTTTTCGTCTTTCCAGTACAGGAGAAATAAACCATTAAAACAAAAGATGATCTGCAACAGAAAGCCAATAACACACGAGTATAATGTTTCTCAAATTACATAAATAGTATATTTCTAACCTGTCAGAAGCCAACACTCCACTCATGTTGGTAGCTATGAAACTTGTAGCTGCCTCCAGTAACTGAGCTGCAGAATCAAACACAGGCTGAGCCCACCGCACCATTGGCAAGGATGACAACACTCTCTCACATCCCAAGGCATTATCTATCACATTGCTTACACTCTGCAAATACAAAGATTTTGTAAAATATTACAAAAAGACTATGAATACGATAAAAGTATTTTAAATTTTGTTGCAAAATTGAAGTGCTTCCAAGTTAAACATTTGTTTAATCTATGAATAACTTATAACTAATATAATCTCAAAATATGTATAAGATTTTGCAAGTAAAATATTAACATGTGGATAAGATCAAACTAATCCTGTCATGAGAATTTAAGACACTGTGTCTTTCATTCTCATGCAGATGTACAAGTAATATAGATACTGGGAAGAAAAATCTGCACTGGTGTAGACATACCATATCATCCAGCAGCTGTTTAAGGCATCGGTCCTGCACCTCCGGAGGAAGAGCAGCATAATTGCGAGTTGGCAATACAACAACAAAGTGCTTGGCCACCCAGCGCAAGCACCGGTGATACAGTTCATCCAAGCAGTAGGCACCAGCGATGGGTAACACATCCAATACTCCTTCTAGACATCCTGAGCATGGCTATGGGAGGAAAAACTTGGTGGTACTGTACTTGTATATTTCTGATATGCACCGTCCTAAAACTTGCATTACATATGCAATACATACGGTATATGAATTTATACTGCACACAGTAATGTAGTCTATTAAAATATTCTTATTGGAAATTATAGTGTCAATGGGTACCGCAGAAAGCATTCAACGTTTAAGAACATTTTAGAAAATTTCAATGTAAGAAAAGGAGTTCAAATAGACATACAAAAGTGATTTACTAATTGTATGCAATAAATAATACAAATTAGGTAAAGAAATTATGCATAACAGCTGTGCATCACAAAATTAAACACTGATTATTTCCAGGACACCTTACTGCTAACTACCTCCCGAGGACAACCAGTCACCAAGAAATGCTGCAAAAGCTACAAACTCACAGGTTACCAGTTAGGTCAATTTCTGAATATGGATACAATACATAAGCTTTTTCTTTTAATATTCTTACTTTTTATTATACGTATATATAATTTTACAATAAAGAGAAGGTTAATCTACTCTAGTTCTATTTCCTTATTATCATACTATTATCAAACAAGAGTATGATGTGACTGGCCAGTGAGTGTTGGCACACAATGCTTTACTTCAAAACATAACTTTGTGTTTCATTATACAGTCCAGTACAGCAAAGTGAATATTATTTTGATCTCCCACACACAATATATCCTAACACTATTTTTTTCTTATCATATATCTTTATATTACTGTACAGTATACAGTATTTTATTTATTCATAAGGCACACTAGCACACTGAGATGACTATTTTTTTAAGTTCTATGTTACTTGACACACAACAATGGCATTAGCGCTCAGTCGTGTGAGAGGCGACCGACATATTTTAGTATGGTAGAAACTTAACTCTAGTTGGATACTATTAATACTTATTATGGTTGTTTTTACATTATATTATATGTTTTTAACACAATGTAATGATGATGATTAGCGTCCGTACAGCAGACACCCAACTCTTGAGAGGTAGCGGATCAGTAACCATTTCTGAACTCTTACAAGCACTACAATCTATTAATGCCATACCTGCAACATTTGTCTTTAAATCTACAAATACCTGATATAAATGAAGATTTACGGATAACTTTCTTTTTACATTTACATCTGCTACGATCGCTGGCAGCATTGTAGCCAGGTTAGACTCGTCACTATAACCACCAGGCTACTGAGCCAAGCTATGAGGTGTTATGGTTGTTTTTCAACTTATATTTTCGGGTATATATACGTAACTTTCTTCATTTATTTTTGCCCGGTTACATGCACACACCATCCTACATACATAGTGTGAAAAAAGCAAAAGAAATAATTGTCCTGAAGGCAAACACAAAGGGAATATACATTTCTTTGCACACGAGTTAGTTGGCTCAGTGGGAGAGCGAGCGGAGAGCACATAGTGTGGGAGGGAGGGAGGGGGGGGGTGCTAGGGAGTCGGCAGAGGTAGCATCCCTGCTGGTCTGCGTTGCTATGATGAAGCAGGAAGTGTATACAATTGACGAATGTGCTAAACTTTCATTTGGCTTTTATTTACTATGCTTGGCAATATACAGTAGTTTTTTTTGTAACTTATTTATTGGTATTATTTTTAATTATTCCTCACATTTACTGGTACTGTACAGTTTACTATTTTAAGAAAACTATGGCTACAGAAGGAAAATACACACAAAAGTCTTTTCCTAAATAATCCCGGCAGAAATGGCCGTGCATCTTATATGGCCATGCGTTTTATGTGGCCGTGCATTGTATATGGCCAAGCATCTTATATGGCCGTGCATCTTTTATGGCCGTGCGTCTTATATGGCCGTAAAATACAGTAATTTATACTCTTTGCCACTGATTGTCAAGTTGATTTCAGCAGAGAATAATTAGGAAAAATAATGAAAGCACTTAAGAGCAAAAATAATAGAAGATAATGCATACACTGTATCGCACCTCAGTTGGGATGTGCTGCCTCAGCCGACTGACCCTTAGCAACTGTTGCTATGGGTCAGTCAGCAGAGGCACACAACTCAAACCCTCTCCCCTGATCAGTACACGCAGCAACTGAGGCCGAGAGTGGAGCGGGTGGAAGTATCTCCCCCAGCCATACGCTCCTACACTCACAGTGCCATTTTTCTCCCACCCCCTAAGCCAAGCACCATAAGTTAAATGTACTAAGATGCGACACGACTGTACAAGTCCAAGACACCCAAGGCAAAGATTTTTAAAGACACTAAATTAACCTCACCTTATTTGGAAGTGAAACAGTGGAAGTACAGAGTTTCATTTTCAACGTAGTATCTATTGAAATTATTGCCTTAATGGTTTTTCTTCCATAATGAGACATGAACATTAAGTTTTCATGTAAAATACTGTAATTATTTACTGTTTTGTGTTGTTGTACAGTGCTGAAGATTATTTAATGTGTATTTATTTCTAATTATATATTTTAATTTCTTACTTGCTATGTTCTTGGCCCCTAACAGGCATGAATCTGTCTGTCATAAAATGGTGACAAACACAAATATTCATCTTACTATTACATAAATCTATAACCTATAGAACAAACATAAGCTCAATCTAACCTTATGAAAATAGTGGCACATTTTAGCTTTGAGATGTAAGGAAATTACATCCTTGAGTCCATCAAGGGCCAGCATGTCTGCTAATGCTGCCAGCTCTCCGACCCTCACTCCTTCAGGCACTGTGCTTGTACCACTGTAGATGTGCTTCAGTGCCACCAAAACACTATCGGCCGAAAACCTGTAGACACGACTTACTTGAGTTGTCTCAAACATAAGAAATGGAGAAAGGAAACATGAAATCTCATTTCAAGACTAAGAGAACAAATTATGTGACCTGTAAGATACTGTCACTAGTTTCCTTGAGACAGAACTTGAAATAATCTGGGAAGTGAGCGTACCCACACATTAACTATGTAGACAATGTTTATGGTACAAGTAGCTTTCTCACATAGATAATTTAGGTCCAAATCCAGATCTGTGGCTGTCTCAGGAAATATTAGTGTTTCTGACTGTGGTATTACTGTCCTGTAGAGGGTACACACACACTTTCTTTGCAGGTCATATTCATTCATTCTTACGACTGTACCTTCATCGATGTGTTCTACTATGGTGCTGTACTTTACTTCCACAAAAGAAGCCTTACCATACCTTACCTCACCACACTTCTATCTGTATCTTGGTGTTTCTCTTCCCCTCCTATCATCCACTACAACTCATAAATCACTACAGTACTGCAAAGTGATACAGGTGATTGATTTTTATCTCTTATGCAAAATGTATGATGTCTACACTCAAATTATTCGCTGTCTTGCAAGGATTCCAGCAATGCATATTATATCCTCCTAACTCTAGTCTGTGATATTTTATAAGATAAAAAATTTAAGCCTAAAACCACCAAACCCTGATTGAGACGATGGTGGAGAGGGAGGGAGAGGGAGGTGAGGTGTTATGTTTGACAGTTGGTCCGAAGGTCTAGTGTGTATTCATTTATCTATCCTTTAGAGTGACTTAAAGTTTTTTCTCTTATAAAATGTCACTAAACTGACCTGGGAGAATATAATTTACATTGCTGGGATTCTTACAAAAGATAGTGATTAATTTGAATATAAACATGCTATAGTTTGTACTCTACATAAAAAAAAAAAAATTGGAGTTTAAAATTGGAAACTGTAACCTAAATCCCGGGGTAATCCGTGTTGAGTTGAAACCACTTAAGAAAAATACGCGTAAGTTGCGAGTCTACCGTACCCCTGTACTGTATTTTATCTAGTACTGAAGATGTTATATTAATCTTGATGAACCATAAACCATAAGAGGCCAATCATATAAGAATATAATACTGAATCAATAAATAAATAAACCTGATGAATGCGGTGACATGCAATCAGTTCCAGCCTGCTTACATACTCAGGTGTCTAGGCCTATAGCAAATCTGATTAGACCACTGTACAGTATTCACTAAGTGTTGTTCATTTCATAAGATTTTCTAATTAATCTTCACCATTTCTTAAAGCATGTACTTAATTTTTTTTTTTAAGTACGGGTATTTCTTGTGACCAGAGCATCTCAGACTCTGAAAAAAAGCGAATTCTGATATATTGAAGACCAATTTATGGAGATTGTACTGTATTATATATTATTCTCTGCATGCTATTTACCCTTTACATTGATTCTCAAATATGTCATTGCTGCTGCTTCTAATATTTTCTCTCCTCTTGCATCTAGACTCCATAGCTATTTCACATCCACATAAAGACTCCATAGCTATTTCACATCCACATAAAAATACTGGCTTAACAAATTGCTTCAAAAACATTCATACAAGAGATAAACAGTGGTCCCTCGGTTAACGAACGCTTCGGTTAACGAATTACCTTCCATAAGAATCTTCAATTCGGTTAACGAAAAAAATTTTGATTAATGAAATCCTTACGAAAATCACGTTTTGTTTTGAACATCAGCTGATAAGCTGAGGGGGTACTCAGCCAATTCAGTAATCTCTTCTATGTTTACATTCATTTCCAATGGAGTAAATATCAAGAAAATTGTGCTCTTTAATATTTGTGCATTTTTTTATACAGAATTAAAATTATTGGTCATTCTAAAATTTAGCCACCCAAGCTCTGTCTACATAAAGCTTTTCAACTATTATTTTTGGCTCGCTATATGTAACTTTATTCATTTAATGAAACTCATTTACATGCACACACTGTCCTAAGGACAAAGCTGAACTGTATATGTAATCAAAATAATGTACAAAAGGATTACTATGGCATGTTTACATTCAAATTAATCACTATCTTATAAGAATTCCAGCAATGTAGATTATATTCTCCCCGGTCACTTCTATGACGTTTTATGAGCAAAAAACAAAAACTCGACTAAACAACATAAATAAACAAATAAATACTTCACTAGACCTTCAGCGCTAACTGTCAAACATGTCACTGTCATCCCCCCCCCCCCCAAAGGGTTTGGTGGTTATACAGAAGGCTTTAAGTTTTAACCATATATAATATCTCAGACTAAAGTTAGGAGAATATAATTTGCATTGCTGGAATCCTTGCAAGACAGCGAATAATTTGAATATAAACGTCATATATTTTGCACGAGATAAAAATTAATCACCTGTATCACATTACAGTAGTTATTTAAGAGTAAGAGTGTATATGTACATATATATACATATACTGTACAGTGATTTAAGGGCAATTTAGGGGAATTTTAGGAGTGTTTCTGACTTTATGCATTTTTGGCTTTACTTTGTATGTACTTTTCTGTGAGCTGGAACCAATTACCCAATATCCCATTGAAACAATGGTTTCGGTTAACGAACGACCCTCTGGAACTAATTGAGTTCGTTAACCGAGGGACCACTGTATAGGAAGAATTACTCACCCCTGTAACTTTATGACGTTGCCTGCACTCTCCACCCAGTGTCCTGAAAGCATCGCAGCAAAATAGACACATCGTGAAGCCAAGATACACTTATGGGCACGGATGCGCTTCTCACCAATCTGGAAATGAGGTTTATTAATATTTTCTGGCTATCACCCTAAGGCCAAGTGGCTCTCAAAATACAGGAGGTACTGTACTGTAGTGTGGACCACTGACAGTAACAGAGTCGTTACACACAAAAAAGAATGAACACTTTTCTTGAGCCAACATAATACAATAAACAATTCATCCTACATTGCAAGATAATAAAGTTATGAAATTGCAACATAGGTTTAAAATACTTATGCTTGCCTGTATAGTAACATCAGTGTTAATTTCATTCAGGAACATATGCAACAAATCTTCTCCCAATCTTGAGCACGGCTCCGTGTTTCCCTGGTCCGTCGGCTCTAGATGGGGATATAAAAATAAATACAACACCATACATAGAAAGATAGTCCAACATTTAATAACACAATATGCAAGTTTATTACGGCTGCATACAGTACATTCTTCATTATAGGTTAAAGACAATTTACAGTAATTACCACACCAAATTATTATACCCAACTGGGAGATGAAAATCCTGATGGAAAACAATACCCGGTACTCTGGTATAATAAAAGCCGGCAGTAGAGTAGATAATAATGAAGGTTTGATCCTTAAAACCCAATTGATAAGAGCCAATGAGGAGCAACTTGTGAATATGTGCACCGAGGCATTTGGGGAGATAATAAACCCCTAAACTTGTATTATACCAAAGGTTACTCATACCTCAATGACAACTGTCCCTTGAAGAGAGAGATAAGGGATGGCTACAATACTGAAGTATCCCCTCTAAATAATGTCAAACTTCAACATATAGCTATTCATAAATACAAGAGCTACATTTATTGATGTCAACTCTCTTCCCCGTCTCCTCTTAACCTTGGTTAGATTTGTCTTAAGCCATATATATTTGAATCTCCTTTTCTACGGAAACACTCCACTGTGAGTCGAGTCTCTTTATTTTAGAAGACCTCATTGTCGAACACCATTCTATAACACCATGATGCAGGAGCTCTTGTAATATGGTACAGACCATTTTGCATCTTATTGTTGAGTCACTGTGAAACTGACTGTATCCATAATGAGTCATGAGGCTACTCCTTTAATCTATTCAATTTGGTCAATTTATCTGCTTCCACACACTTATGAAAAGATTAAAATCATTAACTAACTACTGTAAAGAAGCTACTCTGATTTTCTAATACTATACTGTACTGTACTGACAGCTTTATATCTCACCCCAGGGGGTTTGGTTAAATGTTATTAATTTTTGTCTTAAGCTATCATATTCTTTCTGTGGCTCTAAATTATAGGATGGGAGGGCATTGATTTCATATTCATGTTCTCATTTTCATGTTTTAAATTTTCTATATTTCATTATTATTATTTTAACATACTCTTCTCTATGTACAGTAGTTAGCTTCCTTGGCAGGGAGTACGTCACACCAGCAGTTGGGACAATACAGTACAGTAAGACCATTTCATGTTTCAACCAAATTCAATGACATGTACTTGAATTAATTGGTATAGATGGAGAATTGATCCTGAAATCCCATTTACAACCATTCCTCTTCCTATGGGTAGTAAGATACAGTATAGCCTGGCAAATAAGGGTTGAGCCTGAAATTCAAGATAACCAACCCATGACAACTGATGCAGGTGTGTACTTGCTAGTGACCCACAACTTAGTAACCTCCTTAAACTTTGATGGTGATGTTTGCTTCCAACCCTCACTTAAGAGATGGGGTGTGACTGGGAGGAAGAACTTATCATGAGATTTAATTCCTGGGTTAGATCTAATCAGTGGATACAACCTGGCCACTAATATATAGAAGGCCTGCCAGAGTTACTTGGTACAATACTAGGATCACCAGACTTTAGGCTAAGTTATAATATAGAATTTTGGGGTCATTCCTTCATATATATCCGAGCATGATAGACTGAAAATCAAAATACTTCCTGTAAAGAACAAGAAAATGAAGAAAAGGATAGGAAAGGGATGGAGAGCTGCACACCTCACTGTAGTACACATTTAATCACTACAGTCATCCCATTCACCATAAAACATACTGTATGGAATGTATTTGCGTTAACTTTAGGATCTTCACGTCTAACCTTTCATAATGATCGCCCAATTTAATTTATGATTCCCAACACTAATCTCTGCCCCATCTGTATTCAGTTCACTCTTAAAGCAATCCATTCAACTTTTAAGTACAGTACAGGATCTTGTTAATTCTAAAAATATAAATTCATGCACTTCTTCATCATTATCAATGATTTAAGGTCATTTTCCACACTTGAGTGGGTTAACCATGATTACCAGATAACAACTTTCCTTGCTACAAAGTCTCTTGCAGCCTCTCTCATCAGGTTCTTAATTTTGATATCATTTCTTACAACCTCTTCACACGTCATTCTTGGCTTACCCCTGGCTCTCCTCTGGTCTAAATTTACTCATGCACATCATGATCCAACTGGTCTTATCCATTCTCTTCACAGGAGCCAACTCGTAACAATGGTTTTAAATTAGACAAATTTAGATTTAGGAGCAAAACAGGTAAACATTGGTTTGGAAATAGCATAATGGATGAATGGAACAAGTTACCAAACATCATCATTGACTCAAATACGATGGGTAGCTTCAAATATAGGTTGGATGGATATGAGCAGTAGGGGTTGGGTGTAAATGGGACTGCCCAGTATGGGCCAATAGGCCTGCTGTAGTTTCCTCCATTCTTATGTTCTTATGACAAAACCATCTCAGTCTACCTCTATGTAAAACTTTGCCAATACAGTAGTCTCAAGACCTAGCTGCCCTCTTAGCTCTGAACAGAGTTCTGTATCTTTCAGTGTCACCTTGCACATCCACCGCACTATTCCCATTTTAGCTCGCTAAAGCCTGCCAATGTTTCATTGCCATACAACATCACACTTCTCATGCCAGTTATATGCATCTTTCCTTTTAATAATCAAATTTTTCCTCAGTTACCTCACTCCCCATTCTGAATCTAACTAGACATCATAGCTATTAGTATAGAAAAGGGGCGTGGCTTATGGACCAGATTAGTGTGAAATACAATAAGACTTTTTAATATTTTCATTGGCTGCTTACATCCATTCACTCCATCAAGGTGGTCTTTTCAACTAGAGTCACACTACTGAACACATGACAATATCCCTCAACTCTGTCATCACTTCACCAACAATACTTACTTATATTTACCAATAAGAAATCTTTTCACCATACCCCTTATGTCCTCTTGAATTCTCTATATTTGTTCCAATAAAATGGATTAACTGTTTTAGTTGGGAAATCTTATGCAGGTACAGTATGGTTTTTGGATGTAACACTGTTTTACCAGAGATAAATGTGCAGGGTAAGAAAATTTGCTTAAGTCACTAAGGATAAATATCAAAGGTTATTCAGCAATTAACACTTTCTAAATTCACCCTGGAAAAGACAATTTGGTACAAACCTGAGTTCTAAACTTACCTTTTGAAAATTATCAGAGCACTGTATCACTAAGATGACTATCCTGAACTCTGAGACTAAGTTACATTCACTCAACTTAATGGCATCAAAAGTTGTCATCTGAAGAATAAAAAATCTATTTATCTCAAAAAACATTCATAAACTTTGGTCAACAAGACAATCACACACACACACACACACACACACAAACCAGGTGATTACTAACTGACTTTGACAAGTAATGAGCAGTAGCCTACCATTTGAGCGTTCTATGCTGCTGAGGAGACTGCTTACATCTGACACTTCTGAAGGTTCAGTTTCTTGAGGAAGACTTGTAGACATAATTTCACTAAAAGATACACTTTGAGAGGGTCCAAGTTCTGAGACTGATATGTCTCGACTTGTGGCCATGTCATTTGTTGTTTCTGAAGCATGTTCGTCTTTAGTCCATGAAACGGAATGATCTCTTTGAGTACTTGGATCTCTTTTGTGAGGGGAAGGCTTTGCGTGAACGGATTTAGACGATGATGCTTTGCTTTTGAGAGCATGAATTGGTCTTGGGATACCCGACACAAATGATCCATCTCTTGAAGTAGAAGATTCGTTTATTTTATCATTTAGGCTCACGTTCTTTCTTGTAGGAGGTTGAGCAATAAATTCTTCCCTATCAATAACCGATTTAGTCATCAATTTGCTGGCACTCTCTGGGGTTGAAAACAAAATAGAATCACTTGGAGCTGATCTGGTCATAGGATTTTCAGTTTTCTTTTTGGGAGGAGGTATGGTTCGTCTTCTTGGTTTAGGCGAGCCTTGCTTTGATGATGATTCTGCCTCAATAAACATAAAGAACCCTTTCTTCTCTTTGTTCCCTCCTTCATCTGAGCCCCCATCAACTTCTACTTTCTTGCCATCAGATTCCTCTTTTTCATCTACTGGTGCTGCAAGGACAGGTGGAAGTGATGTGAATTCTATATCTGGGTGAGGTTCGATGGATTTTGAAATGGCTGCACCATCACTCTCTGACTTCCTCTTTCTTCTGTTCTTGGGTGAGACTGTATCTGCTTCTATATACATGTAAACAGCAGAGGACTGGTTCTTAGCCTTTAATGCTTCCTTCTTCTCTGCTTCTTTTGTCTCTTCTGCAGACGGAGTTGGTATGGCATTTAGATCTATAAACATTGGAAAGATAGACTGGTGCTTCTCATCCTCTCCTTCTCCATTAGTTTCTTTAGTCTGAACTTTACCTTCTTTCTGTTCTTCTTCATCATCCTGGGGACCAATATATCCACACACAAGAGGTATAGAATCAACATCCTTAACTGATCCAATACTAACCTGACGTTCACGTTTAGAGAGAGATTTTTTCTCTGCTGTGTCCTTCTCTCTTTTCAGAGTAGATCCTCCTGAGATAATGGGTGTATTTTCAGATATCTCTCTACTTAATCTAGGACTACCGATAATTTGTGACAAAGCCTTAAAAGAGGGCTCTTCAACAGTCACTTCTTTTTTATCTGTTTTTTTCTCATTTTGACCTGAATCATTACTCTTGCTTTCATTTTCCTTATCATCTTGCTCTTTTTCTTCATTATCCATTTCTTCTTTATTCATACTTGAACTACTAGTTTCTATTGATTTAGTTTTCTTTATTTTTTTAGGGGTCTTTTCCTTCTCTGAGGTTTCTGCCTCTCTTCTAGCAACAAAGTCAACACTGAGAGAATCTGGAGAAGGTGATCGAGTTGCTGATCCTCTCTTTGCTATTTCCTGTTGAAGCTCTATTGCCATTTCTTCTGTGCTCTGCTGAACTCTAAGGGGAGGACGGTGACTGACTACATGTGGTAATTCTGAGTTTGCATCTTCTACGGTGTGCCTGACAGGAAGGCCTACAGATGCTGGACGAGGTATGGGGTCAACGACAGGTGCTTCAAGAGCACCCAGTGAGTGAATGCTTCCCATCATGGCACTGTCCATCATACTGCTATATAGGGATCCCACACCCATACTACCACTCTCAGAACTCATACTAGCTGTCATCATACTAGCCGTCATCATGTTGGTAGTAGGAATGTTAGAATAAGTCTGGAAGTTGTGCTCAAATATCAATGACCCTTTTTTTCTTTCCATTTCCCTCAGCCTCTCTGGGTCATCAGCATTATCATAGTATGAGGTTATACTCTCATCAGATACTTTTCTCTCTTTTCCATTACCTAGATTGTCTTTTCCTAAACCCTGAGTTCCAACATTTCTTTTCAGTGTTGTGAAGGTGGGATGACTACTCTGAGCTTCTCCCAGCATCCCATGTTCTACTTTTATGGCAGCAGATCCTTTTGCTTCTGTTTCCTTCTTCTCTGTTGGCTCTTGCTTGGATTTGTCAGAAGGATCACTAATAATTGCATCAAGGACCTCAAACGTTCTTGCTCTTACCAATGGTCTCTTGGGATTAACTGGTTCAGGTGCAGTTTTACCTTTTTCATCTACTATATTTTGATTTCTTTCAGTTTTCAAATCATTATTGTAGTCTCCTCTTGGATTTTCGATCAATCTTTTATATGAGGTTCCTAGACTCTCATCAGAATCATGGCTACTTGAATTTTCTTCATGGCTACTGGGAAGTTCTACTTCAAGACTAGAAGTTTCATGCAGATTACTCAGTCTATAATCACTGCCACTGTTACTGACACTGACATTATCTAGTTCTGCACCATCCTGAGATTCTGCACCAAATGACTGACTTTTTCGTTGCAAGTATGTCTTTGAGGTAGACCCAGATTGAACGGGTTGTTGTTGTTGCAGTTGTTGTCTTGCCAAAATATTAGCTTGATGTAAGGATGCATTTTCTTTTGTGCTGGACATTGCACCGTACTTGTGTGGTTTGCCTTCTTTGACCCTTACACTTGCTGGGTAAAATGGTCCTACATCCCCATTTGAACAAACTATAGCATTCTTTAGAACATTTGAATTGTGAAGGGGTTCAACGGGAGTAAATTCTGAAGTGGAAGACCTCTGAGAACGAGAAGGCGATCGTTCTCGCTTGTCTCTCAACTTATCCTGAAAGGATTCTCCACTAACTTGCATGGGAGATGTTTGTAACTCTTTTATCATAGAAACATTAAAGACGGGAGATTCCTGATTAGATAACTGCCCACTAGGGGACTGATCATCATTACTGGTTCGTTTGGTTGGTAGAGGACCTTTCAAGGAGATTTTCCCTTTCCTTGTCAGTGTTGCAGAACTCTCAAGATCATCTTCTATGTTATTATCACAATTGCCACAGACTTCTTCACTCACACCAGTCTGTTGTTTTTCTTTAATTTCACACTTATCAATATTTACAACAGTATGGTTTGTAATGTTCATTGTGTTTCTCAATGACTTTGGTTTCTGAGCACAAATCTTTTGACTAGACTTTGGCCTTACAGACTTTGATGTATTTGGACTATTCTTTATCACGTGTGGCTTCAGGGTAACTGTGCTGTTTGAATCGGTATCAGACAGGGCACGCGTCTGGTAGGTGCACTGCACACCATTGCTGCAGATAAACCTCTCCACGTCCTGTATATTACCCTTCTTCTCACTCAGATGCCCAAGTCGAAGCTGTTTCAGGATCAACTGCTGAACGTGGTGCTCTTCGTCGCTGCTCAGTCTCTCAATTCTTATCTGGTTGGTATAGAGTAGTGCTCTCTGCTGGAGAACAGCCAGGGTGTCCTCCAATTTCCTTCTTAGTACTACACCAGCTGCCCGGTTGCTTTGATCACTGTACAGACTTCTGTAAAATGCATACAAACTTCAATAGATTTCATGATTTACTGAAAAAGTAATTAATAGGTATTATAGCCCACATACCTCCCTAATATAAACATCTCTGGACATCCATTCCACTCCAGGAAGACGGGGATAAAATGAGGATAATGAAATAAATAAATGCAGATAAACAGATAATCTGATGTCTATCTATGATATCTAGTGATCTACACCAAGAAAAGTTTTAGGTTTGTAGCTCAAAAAAGCATCACTCAAGCTAATAGAAAAGGATATATACAGTACACCTGTGCTTGTGCAAAATTCAACCCCCTATCTTTCTGATTCTCAGTCCTGTCAGAGTTCACAGCTTCAAAGAAAAACACAACACAACATTAAAAAGATAAATGAGAGGATATTTCTCTCCCAAAGCTGTCTATGCATGGTTAATAAACATTCTGATGTTTGACTGCAGAACCTGTACATCTTAAACCATAATCTATGTACGGTAAATGAAAAACTCTGAACATGGAGAAAACAAAGTACAGTACTGTACTGACACACTTCACACCATGGTGAAGCATTTTTTGATGGAATCACAAAATAATGAATAAACTTGCTTATTAAAAAATTATATTTTAAGAATTAAAAAAACCAAAAACATAAAAGGCATCAATAGCTTACAGGCAAGGAACAGCTTACCAGAAGAAGATTCTCCTGAACTATCTCAATCCCTGGCGATGCATGGTACCCTACAGTGTAAACACAACAACATGTGGCATTATCTACCTAGTCCTAATAAGTTTCTTCCTCTTTCCATTTGTTTAATGAAAATATTTTCTAATTATCTATGATAATTTTATTATAAACTGTTTAATTATTATACAGGAAAGCTTCCCATAACGACGGTTCTACTAATGACGATTCATATGTTAAGACCCTGGTTATTTAGGACCCAATTCAATTTACACCATTATTTTCTTCGTATTTATGACAAAAATATTATAAAAATAAAGTAAAATTACATTTTCATATAAATAATAACTAAATCCCGATATGTATTTAAAAAAAAAAAAAAAAACATGCTTTACGCACAGAGGCTGTGAGGGTGTCGCCAGTATAAACAGTGGCAGCTGGCGGGCCCTTTGTTTTCACGCATCTGAACAGGAAAAGGAGAAAAACATTCTCAGGTTTCTTATGGCATTTTTTGTGTCCTTATTCAACATGAGCAAGAGCAAGTGATGGCAGTGCTGGTTCAAAAGCTAAAGCAAAGTGCATAAGCTTAGCCGAGAAACTAGATGTGTTAAAACGATATGAAAAAGGTGAGAGGTCTGTGGATATTATATGGAACAAGCAATGAACATAATATTATTTTTTGAAGTGGATCCATTAACAGAACGAAGCATTAAAATTAACAGGGACGTGAAACACATATGACCTCTACATAAAGATGTAGGTATAATGAGAAAAGAGAGCAGTTTGCAAGATTTTTTCGACAGCTTTATTATTCGACGGCCTAAACCACCAACTTCAGCTTCTCCATCAAATTCAGCATCATAAGCAGCTTCAGCAACAGCTACAGGTTCAGTAACAGTTTCAGCAACAGCTATGATATCTTTATGGAAAGCTTCAGCTTCAGCCAGAGTTGAACCTGATTGACGAAATCATCTGAGTAAAAACTAGCACAATATTCATTGGCTGTCCTTTTGTTTTAGACTTTACTGCGACTGTATTGGTGAGAAGAATTTTTGTTTTACATTAGGTAGTATTATTTAAAACATACCTGTATTTGAACAGTAATAAGTGTTGCTTTCATATTCTTATGTATAGAAATGATGATGTTTTCACATGTACACAATCACATACGATGGCATTCCCAATCTATTTAGTTTTTTCTTTACCATTAGTGGTTAGCTACTTCTATTGTTCCATTTATTAACATTAAATAACATTACTTAATACATACATATTAATTTTTTTACATTAATTTTACTACATCAACAACCAGGGTCTTATTTCTTCAGTTTCTTACGTAGAAGTAGAACCATCGTCACGGGTGTAAATATGAACGATAACAATGCCGTCTCGTCTCCACTTGCGTTTTTTAATATTCTATGTATTATTAATGAATTGTATTGTTCATTTCGCATATATAAACATTAATTCGATCAAAAACATATTCAGTAATAAACAATAATGAATCTTTTATAACATCAAAGTATTCACTGCCGTTCCACTATGGTTACTTTTAATGTACTATTAAATAACATTAATTAAAACATCCATATTTTTTTACATTAATTTTACTATAGCAACATCTAGAGCCTTATTTTCTTGTTTCAGATGGATAACTGACATTATGGGTGCAAACACGACAACAACAATAGCGTCCCATCTCCTCTTGTGTGATCTTATTATTATTGATTTATATTGTATAAGGTGCATTAATAAACATTATTTAAAGAATATAGTTTACATTGTTCATTAATTATATTGTTTTGGGGGGATAGATGGTAAAAGCACAGAAAAGGTCACACTGGGGAATGGATCACATTATTATTACTTTATTTTAATGGTAATTAATGAGTCAAGATACGATTATTCACCTTACACTGCAATAATGGAGGACACATTACCGTCGTTATTCGAGACTTTACTGTTTAGGAAATATATTTACCCTGTAAGATATGCTAGGATATTATCTGAAATCTACAAGACTTAAAAATTATTTTAAAAATGCTAAAAAAAATCAAGTTTGTGCTGCCTGATCACAGCAAAAAAAAGATCACAAAGAAATTAAAAATAATAATGTTCCAGGTGATTATAAATGTAAAAACATGACAATTATTAAGTTCATAACTAAGGTAAAAAACACCTCCAAACACAGGAGCATAGCGGATAATGTTACCACAGTAGCTGCTGCGTGTAGATAGCAGTCTAGTCTGCATCTATCTACTAAACTACCATATCAAAGATAAAATCCATATTTCAAAACACATTACAGTACGGGAGATCACCCCATGCCTGTACCTGAACTGTACTTCCAAACCACAGCATGAAAAATATGCCAAGCGTTCTAGAATTCTTCACATCGCCATGGTAAATGGGTAAATGCTACTTTATATGCGCACGCACACACACACACACACACAGTGTTCTTTAACTACTTTTGTATTGTTTTTATGCTATTGTAGTTATTTTATTGCCTCTCCTCCTGCCAAGAGAAACTGTGTTACTGTTATTTTTCAATTTGTAATTTTGAGAAGATATACGTTTTTCTTTTTTATTGCTACATGCACACACAATTTTTCATAAAGAATGTGCCAAAAATATTAAAAATAAAAGAAATAATTATCATAATGTCAAAAACATAAAGTGAATACAAATTTCTTATGTCCACAGGAGTAAGTGTACAGTAAGTCCTCGCTTAACGTCGGGGTTACGTTCCCGAAAATGCGACGTTATACGAAACGACGTTAAGCGAATCAATTTTCCCCATAAAGAATAGATAAAATACAGGAGTTACGTTCCCCAGCCTCCCATCGCCCCATAAAATACATTACATATACATAAATTCAAAGTTCCATGTGATGCCTGGTGAGGTGCTTGTATGCATTACTATAAAGTCACATTTCATGAGAGAAAAACTTAAAACTCCCTCTGTATGACTGATTAATACACACCAGGTAACCTTCTCAAACCTTCCCTGATGCTGGCAAAATAAATCACCTCCCCTCCCTCTCCTCCAGGGTGAAGTTGGTTTTAGGCTTAAAGATTTTATCTTATAAAATGGCACAGACTAAAGTTAGCAAGTTAGCAGAATATAAATTGCATTGCTGAAATCCTTGCAAGACAGTGAATAATATGGATATAGACATCAAATATTTTGCACGAGAGACAAAAATTTTAGCCCCTTCAGTACATTTATGAACTGTACACGTATTTCAACTTATTTTTTGGTAGATATAGTAACTTTCTTCAATTATTTTTTACTCATTTACATGCACACACCATCCTAAATACATATTGTGAGAAAGGTAAAAAAAATAATTGTCCTAAGGGCAAACCTGTAATGAACTGAAATGTACTAAATAATTACTAAAACTTATGTCTAGTGCAAACTACAGCATGTGTATACTCAAATTAATCACTAACTTACAAGGATTCCAGTAATGTAAGTCACATTCTGTCAAGTCAATTCCCCAAACCTGTACCATTTACATACATGCATTCTTATGGGAAAACAGCGACGACAAAAACGACGTTACAGTAATACCCCGCTTTACGCGGTTCTCGTTTATGCATTTCTACATTTACGTGGTACCCTGCCAGAACCGGAATTCCCACTTTACGCGGTGCATCTACTCATATACGCGGGTGAAGTATAATTTTTTTATTTAGCTCATAAAATTCATACAAATTACCCGGCCAGAATATAATTTACATTGGTGGAATTCTTACAATATGATGATCATTTTGAATATAAACATCATGGATTTTGCATTAGACATACAAATTTTAGATCTAATGTAAGAATTTGTTTGCTCAGAGCAAATACGTTATCTTTTGTGCAAAATATATGACGTTTATATTCAAACTATTCCCGGTCTTGCAAGGAATCCAGCAATGTCAATTATATTATCCTAACTTTAGTCTGAGTGATATTATTTATTATTAGACAACATATTTTAGATCTAATGTAAGAATTTGTTTACAAAGAGCAAATATAAAAATATATGACGTATATTCAAAATATTCCTGGTCTTGTTGTCAATTATATTATCCTAACCCAAACATTTCTCAGAGAGGGAGGAGCCACCGAGCGTGGGAAGAGAGGGGGAGGGGGAGTTGAGTCCATTATTTGAATGGACATTAACCTGGCGACTGTATTTCTCTTAAATATTGTGTGTGCATACCATCATAAAATTAAGATGTTATTTTTACTACAATATAGGTATTGTGTCAGAAAAAGTGGAGTTTGGGAGTCGGCCCAGTCTCTATTTCAATTAATCCCATATGTTATGTTATTCCATTTACGCGTTTCTCATTTTACGCGGACCTCCGCGGGTTCAATTGACTGCGTAAATTGGGGTATTACTGTATATTGAGTCATCGGGACGATAAACGAATTATTGGTACCTTGAGAGTAGCGACGTTGTACCGAAACAACGTTAAGCGGGGCGGCGTTATACGAGGACTTACTGTACAGTTTGTGGTAGGCAGCAGGGAGAGTGGTGCAGTGAGGGAGGTGCGGGGCTGGGATCTCATCCTCTCCCTACTGACCAACCTGTACGCTGCATTATTGTTATTTTCCAACTTGTAATTTCATAATTTTCTTAAATTTTTGTACTCCGTTACATACATACACAATCGTTCATATAAATAAAAAGAAATTATTATCATGAGGTCAAAAACATAAATGGAATAAACATTTCTTACGCGCACGGTAGTTAGCCCACAGATTGTAGGAGCAGGGACCGTGAGAGCAGTGTCGGTCTCCCTAGTGTAGTAAAACTATTGACAACTGGCAAAGCGGTATTCTTTACTTATTTTATTTATTAGTACAGTATCATTTGTATTTATTCCTTACATTTACCGGTACTACAATATACACATAACCCTGGTCCCTAATAGCCTTGGATATATCAGAATATATGTGGTGAAAGTTGACGGCTGAGAATACCCCCCCCCCCCTACTGGAAGAAGCTGTTAACAGGTGCTACGTGCAACACTGTTCTAGAGGTGCTATTGAGTTTCAGTCTGTCATTAAAAGATTCATCACACATTTAGGTCTTTCTAGTTTTGATGCCAGCATTGGGTGGTTGTGGCATTAGTAGTATGCATCAATAACATGCATAGTGCATTTTTTTTACATATATGGTGTACAGCAGTGGTTCCCCAAACCTTTGTAGACTCTGGGCCACATTTATCATTGTAAATATAGTGGAGGGCGCCAAAACTTTGGATCTACATTCAAGAAAAAAAATCTCATATATACTATACAGTTATTTGCAGTTTTACACGACTAACTGTTACCAGTTACATACTTTTTACATTTACTCTTGGACAGGATGTGTGTACGGGGGTGGATCCAGGAATAACAAAGGGGAGAGAAGTTTTGAATAAGGGAGGGAGCAGTGAAAGCTGGTTCATTCTGGCTGAAAGGACCGGTTGTAAGCTTGTCTTTGATTTTGATTTCATATCTCCAATACAGTCAGTGTCCATTTCACTGACATGCAATATACAAGCACCCACAGATATGTAAATTTCATAATTGTATCATATGTCCATTATTACAAACAAACATCATCAGACTGCACACCTACTGAATTTGTCTACCACCATATTTGTGGTGTGTGCTTTGTTTGGTAGTTTTGTTTGGGACAAGATCATAACTGGATGTATTTACAGCATATTCTGCAATGCAACCGAATTATCTTGTTGAACTCTACAGTATTATGACCAGGAAGGTAAAGATGATGTTGCTGCATCTGGTGGTATTAAATAACAGAGTTGAGAGTATGGCATCTATTGGTTGAGAGTTTGGTTTAACCCATTCAACAATATATACAGTATATCCCCAACAGTCGGAACAACTGGTGCAGAATGTTTCCGTGTTCAAGAGATTTCTGGGAATTAAGATGAATTCTCATCCCTGGAAAAAAAATCACACGTTTACGGAATTTTTCTTGGCATTGGTGAATGTTTCAGAGTCTAAACTACGTGTTTTACACGGAGCACCATTGTGAGGCAGCTTCTACTAGCTTGAATACTAGCCATGAGTCTTAAATGCAGTCAGACAACTACAGAGCTGTATTCATTTATGCAGACACTACTGTACTGTTACACTGCAGTATATTGAAAATAAACTACTCTATACACAACAGTAACCTCCCCATTAGCCACAATCTCCAGTCCCTGGAACTCTCAAATAGCCGGAATTGAAATTGAGCCGGAAAATTTCCGAGAAAACCCTCTCTATACCGGGCATGGGATTGAGTTTTTGATGATGAAAATCAGAAGAATTTCCAGAAAAATTCTAAGAAAATTTCTCCATTCTAGGCCTGGGTACAAATTTTCTGGGAGTTCTGATAGATGGCATCCTACTCTGATGTGTCCCCATTTGCCAGGCACATGGATGAGCTAGCTGCTTGGGTAACTTAGGCTTCGTTCATTTTCTGCCATCACCGTTGCCCCGTTAACTGCTGTTTTTGTGTACAATTTGTGTTGTACAGTACTGTACGAGAACACAATCAGCCAAGAATACAGTGTTAAGACTTAAAAAGTGATTACAGCTATGTATACAGTCCTGTACATTTACACAAGTACCATGTACAATAAAAGGGAAACACTGGAGCACCTTAACTTTCATCTTATTCAAGTTCAGGTCAATATGAGACCCATTAATCCCCCACCCAACCTCCACCACACATGAAAGAGTTATATACAATGGATAACATGACATTGCATTAGGTTAGTAGAAAAATCCATTAATCTTCTACCACACCTCCATCGCAAGTGTTAAGACGTAAAATTAATACAGTTACATAAACTGTACTGCACTGTACTGTACATTCCCCAGTACAGGTTGGAAGATTCCACCCTTGGCCGTGACACAGCTCCATTCACACCTCACACGCCCGTACCATATTGATGATATATTAACTGTGTACAGTACTGTATATATAAAATCCCTGTACTGGGGAATGTTTTCCCCAGAGTTTAAGATCCATCTGAACAGGCCAGTTAATCACACAACCACCACATTCAGCTATCTGTAACCATGCCCACCAACATGACAACCCATTTTCACAGTCTGATTTCTCATTTCTTGGCAGGAGCAACTGCAAGACGGACCTCCTCATTAAGGAAGCCTTGCATCAGTATAAAGTAAAGCCATCCATTTGGGATATGGCTTCCTGTGAACTGTTGTGTTTTTCTCACTAAGGCTCGACTCAATTAAGGCAATAACCCCTGTATGTTTTAGTTTTTTCCGAGCTTAGTTTTGTACGTAGGTCTCCTGTCATTTTTATTGGTTTTAAATTATAATGTTCTTTGAATAAAAAAATTGCAGAAGGTAAATTTTAGAATAATGTTTCATTTTTATAGTACAGTTCTGTATATTGCTTGTAATTTTTATATATATATTTTTTTTTTCTGTTTTCTAGGCACTTGATGATGGAAATTGGTACAGTATCTGCACTATGACACCTCAGCTTCCCTGAGATATTAGAGTGCCTGAAATTGCCCAGTTTATACTACAGATGGACAAGGGGGGGGACCTAATTGAGGTGTATAAACATCTCAAAGGGCACTACTCAGTCGAGTGCCCTTACCTGGGGCTGGTGGACGCTCGCCCCACAAGGGGTCACAGCTTAAGGTTGAAGAAGCCGCAAGCCCCGAAAACTGTGAGGGTGAACTTTTCGGAGCGAGAGTTGTGAACTCTCGGAACAATCTGCCAGAGAATGTTGTGACGGCATCAAGTGTGAGCTCTTTCAAGACCAGACTTCACCAACAATGGAGCAGGTTCAGGTACATTCAGGAGCCAGTGCATGCCCAGTACTTGCCAACAGTGCAGAACAGAGACGTTACCAATCGCCCAAGTGGCTAATGAGCTGATCGGTGGTGAAGAGGATAAAACTAAAAAAAAAAAGAAAGTAAAAGTAAAACATTAGTAATTAAAGAAACCCAAGTTAGTCAAGATGTTTGTGTTTTCCCTGGTTCTCATTCTGAGTGACACTGTTTCTTTGTAGTCATAGTCTTAGAAATTAGAAGTATTTGTATTCACATTTGAATATTGACCTCTTGTATTCCCTCCATCCCTGCGTTGGGTCGGATGATTTCCGGTATGATCAATTCACTAATGCCCCAACGTGACCACCAACATTAACCACGCCACACATTGTTCACAAGATTAATCTATTTTCTTTGGAATATGCATATAATGACGATACTTTCCATGGATAATGTCGCTAGTAAGCAAAGTACGTATGTCCAATTGTTTCACACGAAATGACAACAGATACTTTTCTGTTCATGTGTACAGTATAAATAGCTGTACAGTAATCACTTTTCCATGTCTTAACACTGTTTTAATGGTATTCTTGGCCGGTTGGATCTTGGTACAGTAATATCTAGTACTGTGCTGCACAACTCAAATCGTATGTGAGAACAGCAGTGAGGAACAAACAAACTTGTACAATGGCAGTAGATAATGAACTAAGAGTGTCATGATGCAAGAGTTTGAGGAGATAGGCAGTGAGATACATCAGCCAATCATAGACATCCCATGCAGTTACATGACAGCTAACTCACCCATGCACTTGGCAAGTACTCAACACATGATGCAATTACTCAGAAATTCATTTGAATGCCTGGAAAGGAGAAATGTTTTTTTGGAATTTCTTGAAACATTATTTTTATTTTCCGGGTATTGGAGAGTTACAGCGATCAAGGATTCCGGTTATTGAGAATATTACTGTATCACGTAAGGGGTGGTACAGGTACCAGTAATTTCTCTTCTCATTTCTAACTTGCTACTGTACTGTACTCCCAAGTCCAGCAAGCAACTGGATATGATAATCTAAGATAAAAAACTTGTTCATTATTCTAAGTTTATTTATTCATATTTCACCATTCTGTCATATTCCAGGCAAATATGGTTTAAAACAATTGAAGATATATTCTAGGTTGCACCTTGATGCATACCATGGGTTTCCACAAGAAATTAATGTCTGTTTAATGTACATCCAGTCATGTACATGAAGCAATGCTGACTATACTGTACAAACTAAGCTCAACAAGTTTTATCCAAATTAAAGAAGGTAAATATAAAAAAAACAATTATCCTTTACTTGTGAAGTACCTGTACATTCAAAATCAAAATGCACCTCCAAAGGCAGAGCACTCATTTGAAGCACGTCAACCTACCGTGTGAATTTTTGAAGTTCCTTGTACTCAACATCGGGCAGCTGGATGCATATCAGGGCTCCTGCAGGTTTCTTGTAGGGTTGTTGAAATTTAGCAATCTCCAGCAGCAGTTGCCATAAGGCTGGAACACGAGCAGCAAAGAACAACTGGTGACAGTAAACGTTGCCTCTTGATGCCTCAAGCTTCAAGTCCACAAACAGCGATTTTTCGTATAAACTGTAATGGGTGGCACATATAACAAGGCTTTTAACCACTATTACTGATCACGAATATGTATTACAAAATGACTGAGTCTTAAATGATACTAGTGTAATAAAAACGTTTTCTTCTAGTGTTATGAAAATCTACCACTAAATCAGAAAAAATAAAATTCAAAATATCTATATCATAAAAATATTCATGATAATACCATCTAACCCTGAGCCAAAAATCTACAAAAAAAAGTCAAAATACAAACCCAAACACATCAGACACCAGCTGCTCAGTGACCCTTTTTTGTAGTTCCAATCTCTCGCTTTCATACCTCAGCTGTAGGGACGTTGATCGAGGCAGTAGGTAACCTTTGGTGCGCCGTCTTACAGCTGTTGACAAATGTAAGAACAAAATAATTACTAAATATACAACAAAATACAATGTTCTATCTAAATATAATGTTTTATCTTCAAGGTTTCAAGTGACTTTATTTAACAAGCAAGAACTGCAAATTCACTCAAAATTTATAGAACAGAATTGTATCATCAGTCAAATATGGGAGTAATATGGGAGTAGTTTTGTGTTCCAAATAATATAATTAATCCGGGAAATCCCATACTATACTAGGAGTCAGAACAAGGTAAATTATGCCTTTACCCATCAGGTCTACAAGTCACAACTGACCCAAAGTAATGCGTGCCATCAGGGAGGGTTCTAGGAAGTGAAATTCAAAGCTAAAAACCAAACAAGTCTTGGTACTTCAGCAGCTTGTCCTTCATCAGCTAAAAGGGCTTTTGAGTCATAAGCTTAAGTCTTGCTGAGCTTCACCATAAAACCCAAGGGGGAAGGGAGGATTCAGAGTTAATCTAAGGATTCTTATTTCTGAAACCAGCCAGATACTGAATATCCAATGCTACTGAGCACCTGCACCTAATAGGGGAGGAATTACTGTATAGCACAAATCTGCCAACACTCCTGCACAATTCCCACATCTAGAACTGTCTATAAGGATATCCCTCTAAGGAAGGCTGATTAAGCTGCAAAACTCCTCTTGGATTATAGCCAGGTTGTGTAATTTTTATCACCTTAATTACTATTTTGCGAATGTTGATACTGGAAGCTATCCAGTGAATGAAAAGTTCCAAGCAGGCAGATGGATGAACTGGGGCTCAGTCCTGGAAATCCAGTGAAGCTAATGACATACAAGTTGATGTAGCACTAAGACTCACTAAATTCTCAGCCTTAAATAATAAGCCTGCTCCTCCCAGACCCTCCTCTCAAGGTTTGGGCTATGATAACAGCTGTACTGATTGTCTAATGAGTGTCAGCCACCTATATCTTGGGTCAGCCTGGATTGTAACACACAGATTTGATGGGTAAATACTCAAGTCTCTTTGGACCAAAGGCAAATTACAAAAGTAATATATATATATATATATATATATATAGTATAATTAAATAGCAATACACTCAAATTATGAAGCATTTCAAAGCTTTCAAGGACAATGCACAGAAGTTTATTCAGTGTGTTTAATGTAGAACATTTTTGCAAGTAATGGTAATGATTATCATTAAATTCAATACTTTCTGAAATAAAACCCCTTTTTTTAATCAACTTTTAATGACTGAGACCATTGACCTCAATAACAATATAACAATGATAACATTGTGTTTAAAAAATTGGATGTCTAATTTTGAAGCAATTTTTGATCAGTTTTACCAATATTTTACCTGATGATAAATTAAATGAAGAGACAGTAATCTGAGCTGGTGTAAAGAAAGACAAAAGTGTCGGTCGAAACATGAAACAACAAGGTAAAGTCAAGTTAATGAGAAAACTACGTGTATTACAGCAATACCTGAGGTTTAATAGGGAATATTGCACTGTAAGAGTATTGTGTGTTGTTGCTTCCATCGGTAACCAGCGATGAAGCCCAGGCCGTCACTGAGACCATTCATAATATTAGCCTTCATGGACCACCTGAGGATTCGCCCCCTAAGTAGCTTGAGGGTGGTTGAACTTGAGGCTGGTTAAGCTGGGGGGTAATCTTCATGTGACCCATAAAGGCTAGAATTATGAATGGTCTCGGTGACAGTCTGGGCTACATCACTGCTGGTAGCCAAAGCCAACTACTGTAGTGTGCTATCTTGTTCTGTTCAAATAAGGCAACCTCTGTAACTGACGTGTGGATACAAAGCATACATCAAACACTAAAATACAAAATGAGCAAATGCTTACTGCAATCTGCTGCATTTTCACCAATATCAAAATTCTGCAGTGAATGAACTAATGCAGAGAACAGAAAGAAACTACCTGGATAAAACATGTGCTGGGTTGTTGAGACCTTCCAGCCTCACTTAGTTATAATCTCCTGGGTGATGAACAGAGAGAAGAGAGTTTAAGGAAACCTCAAATGTTTGGTCTGCATCACCCACATACTGTACTGCTTATGATGCTGCCAACCACATAGCAACATGACTCAACTTGTACATTTACCAAATATTTGACTTAATCATTTACATACTGTACTAGTTACTACTGCCAATTTATATATGGTTTCCCAAGTTTGATTTGTTTTGAATTAAATATATTACCACTGATATTCAATACAATACAGTACAGTAAAGTACTTGAAGAATAAATATATTATCCTCTCTTAAGCATCTCAACAGGTTTGACTATTGTCATTATTATTAAATACATAAAACATATACAGGATCTACCATTCTTTACAGTAGCAAAACACATCTGCTATACATTTACAGTGCTCCGGTAAAACTAGTTCGCTCCTAATTTATATTCACAACAATCAGTTCTCGACCACAACAATAAACATCTAAGAGAACATATAAGACATTAACACACCATGATACAAATACAAATCAATAATATTCTCATCCAATTGGCAGCGACTCAAATTTCCGTCAGTTACGAGAAAAAATTCACCAAAAATCGATTAAACCCAATTGAGAGATTTTGGTGTGTCATTTCTGTAGGCCTCTTCTCTCATGGTAATCTATCTACAATTAGCTACATGGCAACTATCTATAGAGCTGCACTGTGAAGACATCAGTTTCTTCTCAGTCGGCAAGCTGGAAGGTACTCTGAGCTAGGTATTTAAAAAATCTATCTCACTATCCATCTCACACACTTATGCCCTCCATTATACTGTAATATTTGCCTGTAAAGTGAGCATAAAGTGTTTATTGTTTATTTTGTATGACATTTCAAGTATTCACATTATCAACCGTCATGTCCGGATGATAAACATGTCTCATCCATCTGAAAAGTGATGCAAAGTGTAAATTGCACAATAAACTCCCTTTTCTGGATACAATAAACATCTCAACTATCTGTAAAAGTGATGAATAGTGTTGTAAAATGCAACTCCCTCAAGCATCTACCATCACATTGAAAGATAAGATTATTTAAAAATGTAGTTTATTATACTGATATAATACTATTAAGGTGTATTACTGTATATACTATACTATGTTACACTCCAGTATGCTGTATTATAGAGCAGTAGACAACGTGAGGATAGAACTTTTTCTCTAAAATTACTTACAGCCAAACCATATATTCTAGCAAACTTCTAAACCCAAACTAACCAAGTTAGACAGACTAACCAATGGAATAATAATAGTAGTAAAGTGTAAAAACAATGTCACAAGCTAAAAAGTGAAAAATTTGGAGAAAAAAATTCTAGATACTGTATTTTTTTTTGTCAATTTGCCAGCTTTATTATAGTTCAGTGTTTCCAATATCAATTTCTTTATTTCACCATTATAAAGTATAAAATTTTCCGCTTTTTATTATCTAACACTTATTACATGGTTGTTTGTTAGCTAAAATACAAGTAGATTGTAATAAAAATTATAATGAATGAATTCACATCAAAATTATTCTTTTTTTTTTAATTTTCTGGTTCTATGTGAAAGAGCAACCAATATTAAATACATAGAAAGCAGTTGGTTTCATACAATAAAACAAAACTGGTTCCCAAAAAATCAATTAAAAGGAAGAGAGAGATACAACGCGGCTCTTCCGCGCCAAAAGGTTACAAATATAGCGGTGGGTGAGTATTTAGTCAGTAGAGTATTCAATACTTTTACATTTGACAGAGAGTAATGCAGGTAACTTAACATAGTGAAATACAGTACTGCATTATGTAAAACACTCTACAGTACATCAGAAATCATTACAGTAATGTACATAAATTACCCATTACAGTACGTATACAGTACCATTTATCACAACTTTTGAGGTGACAACCAAGACACTAATGTGGCAAGTGATCAACTCATAACAGTATCCCTGCCTGGCCATAACACACAACAGATGTGTTTGTTGGGTTTTGGTAAGGATCTAGAGTAGAGTACATGGAGTCATCAAGCTGTATCTCAGTCACAAGATGGAGGGAGCACATCACCTCTCCCTCCAGGAAGATGTTGAGAGCTGGAATTACAATTTTAGGCAATACAGTATTAATGTACTTTTATTTCTCGTTCATTTTCTTAATTCATTAATTCTACAATGCGATGCTAACTCTACCTAATACATGAACAAACAGCACCCACATAAAATTAAGACAGTAATACCGCTGGTTGCCGGGACATTTTGAAAACCTAGCTTAAACAAAAATTACTTCATAAATTAGAAGTTGTATGAACTCTTGACCAGACATTTTATAATCACCACGCTTGAGTTCTTTCCTGAATGATTCTTATGGATCTGATCACAATTTTTTTGTTTTTGGTGTGTGTGTGTGTGTGTGTGTTTTAACAACATTACACTATATTACATACCAAGAACAAGCAAGTGATAAACAAGAGAGTATCCCTCACACTGATATACCTAATATCCTACTGAAGTATACGATAACAAAACAAATCTCAGTGAGCCTGCCAGCTTTAAATCGTAAAATGACAACGCTAAAGATTAACAAATTATGGAAATACAGTACGTAGTATATATAAGTGCTGCACTGTTTATGCAGGGTTTCCCCTCCATCACCGGCGTCATCTACCATCCCCCTTCATTACCTACCATGCCCCTGTGTCACCTACCATGCCTATAACCTACTACAATGCTTCAATCTTCACCAGCAGTGCTGATTAGTGTTACTTTTTGACATTTAGTAATTACATGTACAGTAAGTCCTCGCTTAACATTGCCCCCGATAATGTTTTCGTTATAAAGTCGCTATTCTTTAGATACCCATGATTCGGATAACGTTCCAACGATTCAGTATAACGTTGTTCACGGACTACTTTGTACGGTGCATCACCCTCTCGAGCTACGCTTTCTCAGCTTAGTGCGCTACGCTCTCACTTGCGGAGCATCAAAGCATTCCCAATCTTTGTTGGCCCCCAAAGCATTCGTGCT